GTTTGCATCTGTTTTATGGATTCCATTTGTTTCCTATGTTGGGATTCCATCATGTTCCTCAGATCCTCTATTTTTTTATCTTTGTCCTCTAGATTTAATCTTTGCTGTTATCAGAAATTATTTCTGATTTCATTTTTTCCAGATCCTCTTTTGTTTCCAGTTCAGGGAGTCCAGGTGGTTTAGTATCAGATTGTTCCGTCTCGTTTCCCTTTGGGGATGCTGTAGGTGATCTGGAAGTCTGTTTTTGAGGCTTGTTTACGTGTCTTCTCATTTCTGCAGGTGGGGGGAGGGTGCTTCTGGCACCCGTGTGGCTCATCTTCTCTGCCTTAGGAGCGTGGAATGGCGGCAGGGGAGGCTCTTCCCCAATTTTTTACTTTTTATCAATTCTGTCTTCCTCTGCTTTCCTAAGTTATGTTATAAACATTACACAGGTTCTTAACCAAATAAACTCTGAAGAGTTTTGACTGAATTTATAATCTTCCAGTCTTTTAAATTTGTAAGTACTTCTGTAGCTATTGCTTAAACATTTTAACAATATTGTCCACCAAGTAAAGGATGTATGGAACACTTTAGAACAGTTACATAAAATACAAGGTTTGACACTTAAAACATTAATCTGTAACATTCCCTTTGGTTTCTATTACCCAAATGTACGGTAAATGTTTGATGAGTGAGTTAGAGAGAGAGTCATGGCAGTTATGTCAAAGAAGGTTATCCACTTTCTTCCTGCTTTCCATAATGTCTCAAATAATTTCCTAAAAGTGTGTCTTCAGTGTAGCAGTCAGGAGAACCGGGTTTTGTGTGCTGTGCCTTCTACCTGACTGGAAAATTACTTGAATGCCATAGTTTTGTACAAAAAAAAAAAATTTGTTTTTTTTTAATGTCTACTATAGAGTTAAGTAGTTTGGATTTTCTTTTTTCTTTTTCTTTTTAAAATAAATTTTGGACTTTTAACAAATATTGCTGTTAATTGTTGTTAATAACAGACAGACTTACTGAAATAACCCTAATAAACAAGTGTAACTAATGTTGTAATTTGTAAAAAAAAAAATTTTGTTTCAGCCCAGGAGGATCAGTGCAGTTTCTGTGGCAGAGCGAGTTGCATACGAAAGAGGAGAAGAGCCTGGAAAAAGCTGTGGCTATAGTGTTCGATTTGAGTCTATACTTCCCCGCCCTCATGCCAGTATCATGTTTTGTACTGTAGGTCAGTGAAGTATTTTGATCTCATTTGGGATTTATATTGTCTATTTATAAAGAAAATTTACTAACTAGATAGGATGCCTGAAAGTAATGAGCAAATCTTAGAATTCTCACTGAAATAGACCTTTGGTCAGTTTTCTTCATAGAGAATAATGATGTACCTGTTGTTTGTTTTAACTTAGAGAAAATGAAACCATGAAGTCAGTGAATAAGAAATGTATTTAGACTACACTATTGCCTTTTTAATAATTTCAAATGTGTAAGTGAAATCCTAAAATGTTGAGGGTTATTGAAGTATAGTTTTCTCAAAAATAGCTTCTTTGATTCTGTACCTCCGTACTATGTCTAATTAACATAAAATACATCTCCAGTTGCTCTCATTTTTGTTTTTCTCATTTTCTTTTTAAGGTGTGCTGCTAAGAAAATTAGAAGCAGGCATTCGAGGAATCAGTCATGTTATTGTAGATGAGATACACGAAAGAGACATTAATGTAAGTAACTTGTGAGTTATGCTTTCTCTAAAGAGAAATCATAGTACATTTTCTTCTCCCTATTCATACCATTATCTGCTAAACCTATAAGCTTCTGTCACTAAGGTGTTTAACTCAGCCTTTGTTTTTTCTTTGGGACATACACAAATGCGATCTAAAAAACTCTTAGTGTAGGGGCTGGGGATTTAGCTCATTGGTTCTGCTGCCTCCCTCAAAAGCGCAAGGTCCTGAGTTCGACCCCTGGTACCACAAAAAACTCTTGGTGTAAAGTATAGTTTATGGTGTAAGTAAGTCAGCATAACTAATGATACATGACTTGAATAGCTAGTGGAATTTGGTTTTGTATTCTGTTTTCGAGACAGGATCTCACGTATAGTTCAGGGTGATCTTGAGCTCATGGTAGCCCGGGCTGGGCTCCCAATTCATGACAGTCCTCCTGCCTCTGCCTCACAAGTGCCCGGATTACACGTGTGGGCTACCACACTCAGCCAGCGGGTGGAATTTTAAGTTTTTCTTTCAATTGGAAGTAAATTTTTATTTTAACATGATTAACCATGCCATTTTTTTTTCCTGGTTCCAGGGATCAAACTCAGGACCTTGCACTTGCAGGGTAGGCGTGGTGTCACTGAGCTAAATCCTCAGCCCTACTCATATCTTTTTGATGCTTATAGCTCTAATTTTTTCAGATATCAATGATAACCTTGCCACAATTGGGAAAAAACGGGAATTTATTTTCTATTCTTGCCTTTTGGTCCTTGGCAAACCTGTATAAAGTCAACTTTATAGTTGTATGAAGTTTGATATCATAAACCTGTAGCTTGTTTTTATGCCACCATTTATTTACGTGTTCAAACCAAGTATAGTTTGTTTGAAAGATCTCTGCATATTTTCTTCATTGAAGCTGGTATTACATAAAATACTCTTTGGATTTGATTCTCTTTGGAAAATACCTTTATAACCATTATTAATCATAAAACTTTTTTTAATCATTAAACTTTGACCATTATTTTTTAGCTAAAGCTCATAATTGGTTTGAGTGCTTGATGAATAAAATCACATATCTGCTCAGTAAAACTAAATTTCTGCTGTTTTTGTCAATGAGAATCTTTTTGAAACTTATTGCATTGCTAGGATTGAACTCAGGGCCTCACCAGACCTAGTCAAATGCTCCACTACAAAGCTACACCTTCAGCCCTTTTTTTTCCTCAGTGTTAGAGATCAAAAATCACTCCCCCATGCACCCTCCATTAACTTGACATCACCCCCTCTGTTTCAGAATTTTCTTTACTTGCATATTAACATATAAGTGGTGTTGGGGTTTAAATTATCTTAAGTATTGTAATAATATCAATGAATCATCATTACTGTTCTAAAAATAAAGTTGCTTTTGCAGATTGTCTATGTTAATTTAACATCCTAAGTGAAAAATGAAAAAAATGCCTTTGCAGGGGAAAAAAATATTTATTTATTTTGTTCCATTTTGGCTTTTTGAAACCGAGTCTTGCTCTCTGTAGTCCAGGCTGGCCTTGAATTCACTATGTAGCCCAGGCTGGCCTCGAACTTATGGCAGTCCTCTTGTCTCAGCTTCCCCAGTGCTGAGATTACAGGAATGTGCCACCATGCCTAGGTAGAAAATGTTTATGGTCTCTTTTAGATGAATCTTACCTACTTTTTTTTTTTTTTTTTGTATCTGGGATTGAATTCAGGACCTTGCGCTTTTGAGGCAGGTGCAATGCTGCTGAGCTAAATCCCTGGCCCAGCCCTATGTCCCTACATTTCTTTTTCTTTTCTTTTTTTTTTTTTTCCTTTTGCACTGGGGATGGAACTCGGAACCTTGTGTGGGAGGCAGTGGGGGCACCACTGAGCTAAAATCCCCAGCCCACTACTTTTTTTGAGGTAGGGTCTCCCTTTGTAGTTCAGGCTGGCCCTGAACTCATTATGTAGCCCAGGCTGGCTTCGAACTCTCTGCAATCCCCCTGCCTCAGCCTCCCGAGTGCTGAGATTACAGGCGTGTGCCACCACGCCTGGCTTTACATTTCTTTTTTTTATATGAAAAATCTAACAACTTACAGACCATTTATTATAGGTAATAGAATTTAACAGTATGGGATAAAATATTAATACACAAACATCAGTTGCATTCTGAACAAATAGCTAAAAAGTAATTTAAAAGGTGCTGTTGTGCAATAGTCAGAATATAAAACATTTAAAAATAAATCCAACAAAAGGAATGTAAAGCTAGAAAAATAGGTAATAAATAGATCTAGAATAGCATAGATACATGAATTCTCAAATTCAGTTTCTTTCAAGGCAAGTCTAATTAAGATCCCACCAGAACTTTTCATAGAACTTGATAAAATGGTTGAAAATACTTTTGGGGATGATTTGAGGCAAAAAATAACCAATTCTTCTTAAAAACAGAATGCAGGCTCTTGCCTTATAGGTAGCAGGACTTATTTAGAAGTTACAGTAATTCAGGTACATGGCTTAACAGTTGAATGAAATAATGAGAGCAGAGAAAACTAAAGGTCATCCATATGGAAGTAGTTGATACTGGATCCCTGCCTCATAACTAGATAGAAAAATCAAGTCCACATAGATTGAGAGCTTAAATGACAACACAATTTAAAAACTGGGTTGTTTGTTTATTTGTTTGTTTGGTTTTGGGTCAGGGTCTCACTGCATAGTTCAGGCTGGCCTTGACCCTGCTAGGTGGTCCAGGCACCTGCAAATCTCGAGCTTAGAGCAAGCCTCCTGCCTCAGCCTCCTGAGTTCTGGGATTACAGGCAATCTTTATATATAGTCAATTTTTAAAATAGATTGATGTGTTCTCTTATTTTTTCCACATGAATTCTTCAAAATCTGGTGTATATTTTACACTTAGAGCATATCTAAACTTGAATCAGCCACATTTCATGTGCTCTGAAAGTACATACGGCCAATAGCTACTGTACTAAACTAATTTTATGCTTTTGAATGGTGTATGAGTCTAGTCTAGCTTATATTAAAACCACAATCATTTATTCCTTCAAGCCAGATGATTCCATTGTATTGATATAGAAATACAAACAATTCCTAAAAGTTAGTAAGATGTTCAAATGATTCAGAAAGTTGAACAAAAGATAACAGATGTTTTATAGAAAACATTTGGCTAATGGCTAATAAGCATGTAGTGTTGCTCAGTCTCATTGAGAAATAAGGAAAGTATAGTTCAAAACCCCGGTAAAGTGCTGGTTTATCAATTTGTTTTAAAATACTTTAAATGATAATTGCAAGTGTTTGGAGACTGTGGATCAGGAAGAT